GAAAATAGTAGTCTTCAGAATCTTAGTAGTGACAGCGATAGTAAAGAGACAGAAAGTGTGAGCAGTCCACCTATAGTGACTAGTCGATCGGCTTCATCGAATGAGCCTTCTAATGTTTTGACGTCATCGGACCCTGCTGCGAATGCTATGATATGACTGACTCCTTCTGTTGATATTTTGGTATTTCATTTGATTCCATTTTGAGATTTTATCATTGTATATTGTTATTATTTCTATATACTTGTACTTATATTGAAGTTTTTATGTTTTCTTCTGAACTGTACACATGTTGTTTAAATTTGATATATAATATGGCTACAGCCATATTTGGACTTGATATCGTTGCAGTTAATACTAGCATCACCTATTCTTTTGGAACTGGATACCTATCAGGGTAATTGGGATTTGGAAGGTGTATTAAAAGTCAGGTATTTGTTTGTATTTCCATTTTACCATAATATAGACCACTTTCTCCTAGAATAATTGTGTTTTGATATTGGACTAAGGGAGGGTGTGCTTGAATTTCTACAGTGGCCGTTCCAATGGGTTCCAATAGAGGCACTCCTGTACGCTTTTCCCAGTTCCGGGTCCCAACCAATTCAAAAAGGACAAAATTGTAGGAGAAAGCGTCTTTATTAATTAAAAAATGGAAATACAAAGCATTACCTGGAAATAGTGCTTCTTCCAGGGTAAAATTACTCCGTAGAGTATCAGACACAGTGACAGATAAGTGACGCTAAGTCCAGCGGCCACTGCATCAATCAAAAAATGTGGCGGTAGCCATATTATATCAAATTTAAACAACATATGTACAGTTCAGAAGCAAACACAAAAACTTCAATATAAGTACAAAATATAGAAAGAATAACAATATACAGTGATAAAATCTCAAATTGGAATCAAATAAAATACCAAAAATGTCAACAGAAAAATTCCGTCATGTCATAGCAAAAATATGTAAACATGGAGGGATTTTCCAAAAAACAAAACATTCAAAAAGGATTCTACAGAGGGTGCGTTCGACTTACACCTACTGGGAACAAATTGAACTGCTACGGTTGAAAATTCATCTACATTACTACGACATCTACTTAGTAACAATGTGATATCGACCTCACAGTATGGGTTCTTGAGGTCCAGGTTGTGTGATACATGTCTTTTAAATTATTTCAATGATATCACACATAAACAAGACAAAGGGCTTCAAGTATCAGTTCGTTTCTTCGATTTTAAAAAGGCTTTTATAAAGTCCCAAACAAAAGGCTCCTACTTAAACTGAAATCATTTGGAATCATCAACCCACTACACTCATGGTTAGCTTCATTCCTAAATGGGCGACAACAAATGATAAAGAACAACGACTGTCTTTCATCACCAAGACCAATAACCAGTGGGGTTATCCAGGGAAGTGTCTTAGGTTCACTCTTGTTTCTAATGTACATAAATGATATGTGTAATACTATAAATTTTGGAAGTGCATACTTATCTTCCGATGATCTGAAAATAGTAAACAGCTATAAGCCTGAAGATCTGGACGAAAATATAGCTAAGATTCAGAGTGATCTTGATAACTTAACTACCTGGAGCGAGACCTGGCAACTACCGTTTAACCACAACAAATGTGGCATGATGCATTTTAGCAAGCATCACCTTGATACACCACTCTACTTACAAAAATGTAGGGTTCAGACACTTATATCAGCGCGTGACCTTGGTATTAGTTACTCTAGAAGCCTAAAATTCGAAGAAAATGCCTCAAATATTATTTCTAAATCTAGACGACTAATTGGGTTTACAGACAAGAACTTCTTGACTAGTGAGGCTAAATTTACTCTCTTCAAAATCTGTATAAGGCCCACACTTGAATATTGTTCGCTCATCTTTTCAAACTTGAATATCATTGACAAAATGCGAGTAGAACATGTACAAAGAAGCTTCACCCGGCGAATGCTCGGATTGAGCCATAACCTCGACTACACAGAAAGATGCAAGCATCTTTCCGTAGAACCTCTATGAAGCCATCGTCTGAAAAACAACCTAATGCTCCTCTACAAACTAATAAATGGTCTTTCGTTCGTAAAATATCGCCCTATTATGAACCACGACATTGCTTACAGAATTATAAATAATGCATATACATTATTAACGACAAAACAGAAAAAATCATTGCGTTGTAATCTATTTGTAATACGATACAGTCTATTGTGTAACAGGTTACCAATTACTATCCGTATTTGTGACACAATCTCTAAGTTCAAGAAACTAGTCATGCTGTTGCTAGACTCTAAAGAGATTTATCGACTATTCCCGGAACTCACACAAAGTTTCCTGACACTCTTTTATGGTCCACCAAATATTTAGATAAACCTCAGAAACAAATTATAGACTATGAACACATTGTGTTCTCATTACCACCCATACATGTATCACGAAATGATAGACAAATCCCCCTGCTCCTACTAACAGTAATAGGTTACGCCTTTGAAGTGTTACCCGTGACTTTTCTCTGGATTTAAATTCCGATAATTATTTTCATATCTTCAAAGCAGTTTTAGTTTTTATTTCTAGTAGACAGACAAATTAAAAAGCCTGTAGATGCTGATCAACTACTGTCAATTACAAGGAACTCAAACACCGTGTATAATTGTGAGTATCTTCTTATTTAAGTATTAACAGTTTAACTCATTTTTATTTCCCCAATTCAATAACATCCAAACACCTTGCCTGCTTACCAACCTATCGCTTTACTTATTAATTTTTAACATTATTTCAACCCTTTTTTTCACTTTCTCCTCGTTCCAGCTCCCTGTCCTTCCTATTTCCAAACTACCTATTAACTGACTCATCTTACAAATCATACCATTCGTTTACTTAAAATCAGTGTGATATGCTATGCGGATATATTTTATGGTAAAATTGTCTGGATTGCTTGTAATGTTGGAGCTAGTAGAGAATGTTAATTCCAATAAGGTGTACAAAAAATGAGAGTAGACTAGAGACCATTATTTACAATCAACCATTAAACGTAAGAGAGCCTAAAATCACAAAAGGAGGGAGGGTGGTGTATCTGACCAACATTCATGACGGTGGGGCGATAACCTCAATCTACCCATGTCTGTGTGGCAGAACATTTTGTTTGCTTACGGCTCCTTACGATATAGCAGGATGTAACAAATCAGTGATATTGATGTTACTTTTCCTTGTTAACCTCGTCTACAACCCATGTCTGTAACCTTTCACTGGTTTTTACTTCCTACCGAGAAATCCTATTACAAGCTGGTCTGGACAACTATACTAAGAAAGAGCTCATTCATAACTTCTTGAGCCTCAGAGTTAAAAATAAAAAGAATAAATAAAACAAAAAATTATATCACTGAGCCTCTTTATTATATTTTGTAAATCAACATTATTACTAACAACTTGGTTCTTCTGAATTTCCTCTATTCATTCGACTAACTTTCCATTAGTTATCTCACTACTGAATTGTCTTCATTAACCTACATAAGTGCAGGTGTACAGTTATTGTTATGATATTAAAAAAGTCTGAGTAAACATACCTTTGTTTTATCCATAAACGTATGTGCAAAGCCGTTGTTCGGCTTTGAACAAGAATATTTTCTGTTCCGCTCCTTATCCCGTTTTCTTTATTCCTCTTTTTTCAGCACCTTATTCCAATCCTCATATATTAGTCTGGATATTTGCAGTAGACTTGGTTACCCTACCCAGGAACAAGTGAAATCACTAGCTGATGAATATCAACCAGACCTTTGTACATTTACCGCATCAATTCTTGTTATATGAAAACCTATCTCTACCATTAATCGTTTCTCAGTCCATAAGATGATTGTCGTAACGCAACCTTTGTGACTTGCGCCAGGTAACTTGGCATGTTTCTTGTAACTTATTTGTTATGTGAGAATCAATTATTATTATTATTATGAAATACTGTTTGAGACTACCATGTAATCGTAAATTTAGTCAACATAATCTTCCGGTGGTTAGCTGGATTATTAAAACCCCAACATTTCAGAAGAGACAGGGGATGCGGTGAACAGCTCTGGTGTTTTCACATGATTTGAACTTCGCAGGTGACCAAGCCCTTATGTTCCTGGACTATAGCAACAAATGCAGGTGGAAACTGCTAGTATATCAGCAGTTTTTGGAGCAGTTGGCCTTTACTTATACAAGGGAAAAAGCAGGATCTCCAGTATAACACAAGATACATCAACCGAATCACACTCGACGAATAAGCTTTAGAAGATGTGGAAACCTTTACATACACATACACAGTTGATGGACACCCTAAAATAAAAACAATTTTCCATCAATGCCATAGTCACAATTTCCTATACGAAATTCATGGCAGTTCTATTATATGAAGCGGAAACTTCGATAGCTACGAAATCCACCACTCAAAAGATGTCGATATTATTAGGCAGCCAACATCAGCAGTACCTTACTGCGGTGAGCGACAAAAAAGCTTCTAGCCGCGTGAGAAAGCACAACGAAAAGTCATAGATTTTAACTGCATTTGATGAATTGAGGCCCTATCACAGAAGATCATTAATTTACATTTATTTATGGATACTTCCTCCTTTACTTGATGTTTCTCACTTTTCATTCTTTTTCGGTACCACAAAGAGGCTACAATCGAAACTAGTAAATGAGGAAAAGATCTGATTGATCTAGGGATTTTGCACAGTGGTCCGATGGTTAGGCGTTCGCGCACAATACCGAAGATCCTCAGTTCGAATCCTTCGAGGTGCAGGAGTCGTGGATGCGCACTGCTGATGAGTCCCATACCAGGGCGAAACGGCCGTCTAGTGCTTCCAGGTTTCTGATGGTGATCTAACAGTGATTGATTGATGAATTCAAATAGTGTCCTTTCCCTACACAAAAAATATTTTTTGCAATCCATACAGAAATCATGTGATTCATTCTGTTCAGTATCTCCGCTCAACTAAGTTCTTTGTCTCACTTTTCATAGTTTAGTGTACATGCTTTGCGGAAAATTTAAGTCGTACGTTACCGCAAATGGAAGCGTTAAGGTTGTCGGAATTGGAAATTAACTTCTACTTCAACGCGTTCGATAGCTGTGATGTTGAGAAAAGCGGAAAGTTATCCACGGAGTGTGTCAAAATGTTTCTGTCCCGCTTTGCTATTTCAGATATTTTGATAAATGATGTAATTATTCTGAAATAACTCGGAGACTGTAGATTTTACTATTGTCAAATCCGTCTGTTGGTGGCTTGTGGGGACGCGTAAATTTCTTCACAGCTTTAAAGTTTGTTTCGCTTGCTCAAAGTGGTATTCCGTTGTCTAGAAATGAGTTAATTAGAAACAGTATTTTGGATTTATTAACTCTTCATGTTTATAGGAGAAAACCTCCCCCTTCCCATGATCCGCGATAAATGTGAGCCGTCGGTGGAGAACAGTATGTCCAAAGGGAATAGTTCATCTCACGATCCTGTAAATTGTGGTTTTGTTAACCTGTCTTGTGATTAATACAGGCATCTGTTCAGGATTTTTTCAACTCAGACAAACAGCCTTATGAATGTATCAGTTGTGAAATTAAATTTAATGAGAATCAGATAGCCACAAACAACAGTACTTTTGCAGAAAGTCCTGAAGATTCCTGTTTTTCTGCTTGGCCTAGAAGTTACGACGATGAACAAAGTACGTTTGATGAATTTCCTCATACCTTGAACTTCCTATATCTCCCCTGCGGTTTAACTTCGATCAAATCTGGTACATAGTAATGTAAAAAACTGTTATGGCCACTTAAATAACATTTCTAAGCCGGTGGAAACTGTTCACAGACTTAAAAGAATATTTGTAAACGAAATGACTCTATCGATCTGATAGATCAAATAAAACTGGTTCACTGAAACTCTAAGATATACCGAATTAGTAAATGTAAGTATGGAGCTTATTATTAAAAGACGGTGAATCGCATCTATGAGGGACTGCCTTTAATCACAAGTCCAGTCTGAAAAGCTTATTGACTTAGTAACGCTCGTAATAACCAAGGACTTGTTAGTGTTACTAATGCCTAGTACTCCTAGCACTGACTTTTACTGACATTTAAATTTTTTTATTAATGGAGGGGATTTGTGGAGTGTATCATTTTTGTAGCTGAAATCACGAACTGATCTAAGCTAGGCCACCATCAGAAACCTGTAATGTATTCCTGGAGTTTTAGTGACAAGTGGTGACCAGTGGATTTCAATCCGTGTCTGATAGAAAACGGTTATCTTCCGCAGGCAATGAATGAAGGTTGCGCTACATCATCGGTTGATTAAAGTTAGGCATTAACACTACTAGATACCGACTTAATGTACTAGAAGTTAAGCGTTCTCATGGGAAACCAAAGGTTTTGGGCTTGAATCCCTTGTGAGAGTCGTGAATACGTCTAGCTCAGATCATTTCGTGATCTCAACTATAAAAACTAAGATCTGGTTTTTAATAGTGTTACTTATAGATAGCATTACGAGGTTGTGAAGATTGTTAAGTTACTCATTGGAATCATGGATCGATCAATGTTAGACCACCATTAGAAAGAAACCTGAAAGCAATGCACGGCCATTTCGTCCTTGTTTGGGTTTCATCGTCAGTGCGCATTCACGACTTCTGCACCTTGCAGGACCTTCCACCTTGCGCGTGGGCGCCTAACCTCTGGACCACTCAGCCGGTATCTAGCGGTGTTAATATCTAACTTCAATCAATTCACGGTCTTGTGCAACCTCACACTTTCTTCGGTAGCTGCTGCCTACAACCAAACGGGTCGTTTCGTATAACACGGTGACTGTCTGATAACACTGAAAGCACTATTTGTTAACTGATAATCCCATTTTACTGCTAAGATCTCAGTAAATGTTGCGAGTTTAAATAGATGGTCTATACATTGAAAGCAATGTATTTACAAGAATCACCTACGTATGTATCCCTAAGTACACTGCTTAAACGTCTGTTGAATTAATCTTATTTACAGCCGATCTTATTATAATTTGTCATATGGCTCCATAACAGCAAGTGATTTATTCGAAAGTGTTCTCATGTGGCTTTTTCATAAACATCTTCCGAAACACATTTTATCTTTCGACTTTCTTAACATTAAGTATACAACTCATTTTACGAAAACAGTAAATTTGTTAAGAAATCAACAAAATACTTTTGATTGCCTCATAAAAAATTAAATATATTTGACACGCGTTTTATCTGCTGTGATGTTTCGATGTGAAGCATTGTACAGCTCAATAAATTTTGAAAATAGAATATTAATGCTCATTATCTATTTGAATAACCTCAATTTGTTAGTTTTAGTGGTACAGTTGCGATCACTGGTCTACGATGCTACCTAAATTGTATTTAACCACTTGGCAATTATTGACCATAAGTACGGGATGTACTTTCTGCCTTCAAGTCATTTACTTTGGGAAAAGGCTACCTACAAACTTGCTCTTCATATCAAGTCGTTAGAAAGTCGAAACATTCTTGTATTTGGCTAACCGAGTGATTACTAGTTGCAGCGTAGAAGTTTAGGTCAATTTATACATACTGAAATCCGAATGAGTTAATGCCGATCAGGTCAGTCTTTGGTGTCGTGGTGTCAATCTGTAAACAATTGGCGACAACACTTAGTAATGTCGAGGTCAGGTTGTATGTCCGGAACACTAACTACGATTCAGTTAATTTCACAGTCCAGAACCATAAACATTTGTGGTTTCGGACATATTTTACAAATGTTGTTCCGAAAGCTTTTACACTGCCAGGTGAACCTTCAGATAACGACCAGCATCGATCTTACCAAAGTTTTTGACTCATATTTTATTTAAACATATAATTATTGGTAGACGGAAGAACCTAAATAATCTATACACTATCAGTCAGTCAGTCAGTAACAACGTAGAACTTGGTATGTACGTACATAACTTCAGGTTGCCATACCACATTAGCACAGAGACGCAATCGTCAGTTCAAATCCCATAGTGGTACAGATAGTAGAAGTATTACTGGTGATGGAGAAGATTAGAGTTCGAAGAAATTATTCAAGAAGTATGATTCGGTGAAATGAATTGATAAAAAAAGAAAGATAGGGTGATGAGGAATTCAGAAGATTACGATTTGAGACAATACAAAATATGGATTCACCAGTGCCATTGCAAACGGTTTTGAGCTGTCATTCAAGATTTATAACAATTGATTACTATCATTTCGCGGATCCCAACCAGCTAGTCTACACCTACCAACATGACTCAGTCCACTTGTCAGTGGCTTCATGGATTTGTGTCGTGTTTCGGTCTGGCCGCCCCTAGTTTTCTTCCAACCTACTCCTACACCACAAAACATAACTCGTCTAGGCAATCGGTTGTTGGGCATACGTGTCACATGTCCTAAACACCTTAACTGATAAAGTTTCAACACTTCATCAACTGATTTGCCATCCTTATCTAGTACTCGTTCCCTAACTATTGCATTGCTTACTGGGTTGTTCCACGAAACACTTCTAAGATATCGATGGTCGGAAACCAGTAACCTATGAATATACTCATACACAAAGAGTGGTTGCACCTGCGCCATTGCATATGATTTTGAGCCATGTCATTCAGGGTCTCTAACTATTCGATTACTAACATCTCACGGATCCCAACCAGCTAGTTCACGCCTACCAACATAACTTAGTCCACTTGTCAGTGACTTCATGGATTTGTGCCATGTTTTGGTCTGGTCACTCCTAGCTTTCTTACAATCTGCTACTACACTAAGCATAGCTCGTCTAGGTAGTCGGTGGTTAGGCATACGTAACGCATGTCCTAACCACCTCAACTGATGACGTTTTCGTACTTCATCGATTGATTTGCCATCCCTACGTAGTACGTGTTTCCTTACGATAGCTTTGCCTATTTGGTTGTTCTACGAAACATGAGCAATGCTTCTAGTCAGTCAGTCAGATGCAACGTAGAACTTGGTACGTAAGTACATCAGTTCATGTTGCCATACCACATCAGCACAGAGATATAATTGTCAATTCAAATCCAATAGTAGTAGAGGTAGTAAGGGAATTAGAAGTAATCGGAGAGGTTACGGTTAGAAGATACTATTCAAGAAGTATGATTCAGTGAGAAAAGTTTAGAAAGTAAAAGCTAGAGGTGTTGAAGAACCCAGAAGATGAGGATTTGAGAGAACACAAAGAATAAATGCACCGGCGCCATTGCGAACAATTTTGAGCCATGTCAATCAAGGTCTCTAACCATCGATTATTATCATCTCGCGGACCCAAACCAGGTAGTCGACAATTACCGACACGGCTCAGTCCACTAGTCAATGACTTCATGGATTTCTGCCATGTTTTGGTCTGGCCGCCCCTAACTTTCTTCCAACCTACTCCTACACTACAAAAAAAAGCTCGTCGAGGCAGTCGGTGGTTCGGCATACGCAAGGTATGTCCCAACCACCTAAACTGGTGAAGTTTCAATACTTCATCGGTTGATCTGCAATCCTTGCTTAGTACTCGTTTCCTAACGACAGCATTGCTTACTCGGTTGTCCCACGGTATACGAGCAATGCTTCGAAGACACCTATGATCGAAAACCAGTAACCTACGAATATCTTCTACTCTCACTAGCGATGTTTCACAGCCATAACGGAGAACGGAGCGAACCGCTGCACAGTACACTCGTCCCGAGCGTAGCTGCTACCTTGACGTGGTGGTCAGGCTTGCCTATCGTGATGACCCAACCGAGCTATACTGGCTGGAACATATGTTCCCCAAGGTTCTACCATGTCAGACAAGTCGATTGGAGAACGATGAGACTAAAAGCAGCTACCCAAGGTCTGAGGGCGAAGTCGTACTGCTGACTGCAGAGGGGTGTGACAACAGTAAGGTGTTTCCCTTGGACAACCAGCATCTGCAGCGATGCTGCCTTCTCACAAGGAAGGAAGGGTTAGAAAAGGTCGGCCCTAAAAATGTCACACCTCCCCTAACTCACGGATTTCCGTCTCCTTGGGTAAGGGTGCCAACTAAGGGCCTTTCAGAACGGAACTAATCCTCAAAAAACATTTCATAAAAAGGCCGTGCGTGACCGGCCTCAAGCAGTTGTCCCTTGGACTCTGCGGTCACGCACTAACACTAATCTATCTTCCTTTTCAGGTCCCTCAAGAAACAACCTTCCACGGTGTGGGCAGCCGGGAAGTGACAACCGCCCTCATACCTGTAGCAGCACACGAGACCAAATTGGTCAAAATCAAATCCTTCCTACAGTCAGTCAGTCAGTCAGTTGCAACGTAGAACTTCGTACGTAAGTACATCAGTTCATGTCGCCATACCACATCAGCACAGAGATATAATTATCAATTCAAATCCAATAGTAGAAGAGGTAGTAAAGGTATTAGAAGTAATCGGAGAGGTTAGAATTAGAAGATATTATTCACGAAGTATGATTCAATGAGATAAGTTTAGAAAGTAAAAGCTAGAGGTGTTGAAGAACCCAGAAGATGAGGATTTGAGAGAACACAAAGAATAAATGCACCGGCGCCATTGCGAACAATTTTGAGCCATGTCAATCAAGGTCTCTAACCATCGATTATTATCATCTCGCGGACCCAAACCAGGTAGTCGACAATTACCGACACGGCTCAGTCCACTAGTCAATGACTTCATGGATTTCTGCCATGTT